TTGAAACATGGACTAGAGCAACATTTTTCTGCTCTACCATTGCAAAAGCAGGTGCATATCCTGGAATTCACTAGTTACAAATCATCTCTGCCAAAAGAGCAGGTGCCCATTTTACAAGGGGAGAAAATTTTAGCTATAGCCTTTGCTGTCTACGGGGCTCTGTAGGTGCATATATGGAATTCACTAGTTCCAAATCATCTGCCAAAATTATAGGTGTCCATTTTACAAGGGGAGAAAATTTTAGCTGTCCACAGTTGAAGCCTTCGTTTCGTTGTCTACAAGGCTCTCCCTGTGTGACGCATAGGATCAGGTAGGTACAATGTTGTAAGTAGTCTAATGAGCACTTTAAATATCTTTTTTTTTTTTTACACCTGTCCCTTAAAATACCCTCATTCACTCTTGAAAAACATCAAAACCTACTTTTGACAGTTGTCTAAATACTTGTCAAGTGCTCTTTTAACGTGCCGAAAGTGGTGTCCATTTTAGAAGGGGGGAAAACTTTAACTGTCCACATTCAAAACTTTTTTCTGTCTATGTGCCAAATAAGTCCATGTGGAGTCCATGCAATGACACGTTAATAGAGAGAGAAAGAGAGAGAGAGACTATATGAAACAGTACAAACAAAATCTTGGAACTGCCTGATTGTTTACCAAAAAAACCAAAAAGCAGATTACATGGTATTTATTTTAATTATAACTAAGGATATGTTAGGTTTGAATTGGATTCGGTTGAAATCACAATCCATCTATTTTGTTCAAATGAAAATTAAAATCAGAATCAGAATTAGTTGAAATGGAGAGGGAAAGAATGACTATACACTCAAAGGAGGGAATATTACTCCACCAGAAATAGGAATCAGATTTTGATTCCACTCACTCAAACAATTTGATTCTGATTTCGATTCCAAACCCTGTTTCTCCAAACCAAACGGATCCTGTCCTTCATTTATTTCTCAATCACTGAAGAATCTATTATGTATGACGTACAGTGGTTGATTGGTTGTAACAAAAGTGGGTTCTGACTTCCGACCTCAGTGAAGGAGCTTTGCTAAAAATTGATCCGAGACCAATTCACAGAAAGCACATAGAGTAAAGATAAAGATATAATAATTGATCGATATTCTTATTAGATAATATCTCTAAGATAAAATTATTTATAATTCATGGACAGTTTCTGAACAGTTATAAGTAGATAATTTCTAAAATGAGAGTAAAGGACATATATGCCCTATTTATACCCATTGTATGTTTAGATAAGGGGGATAGAAAACATTCAATGAAAATTCCAGAAAGAAGGGACATTCACTCTTTTATAGATATTATAGATATAGATAGATGATTCAAAATATATAGAGGGTCATCCCTGGACCATTACAATGGGAATCAAGAAAAAAAAAAAAGATATGATTGTAAATGATTGCTAGGATGAGAATAGGTGTGCTGACAGATCTTCAACGGTTTTGTAACAACCTTACATGGACTGATCCTTTGGGGTGTATTATCAAAGTGAATGCGGCATTGTTCATCAGATATCCTGCCACATGCCCTACCACATGCCCTTTGCTGTGAAAATCTCGTAACACAATCTCATGAGCAAGTTCGGATTTGGTCCTCACATAATTGTCTAATGTTTTTACTAGTGGACCCTTGTATGATGTATGGAATTGGGCTTAAAACTTATTCTTCTATGGAGCTACACAACCCGAGGGTAGGGATGGCAATTTTCTCCATCCCCACCAAGTATCCAACCTCCCTAATCAGATGGAGATGGGATGGAGATTGCCTTGGTAGGGATAGGGTGAGGATGGAATTAACAGGAATACCTGATTGGGGATGGAGAGTGAAGTCCACACCCCACCCCAACCTCGATTATATATATTAAATATATGTGTATATATATTATATTAAATATATAATATTATTTATGTTATTTATAATATTATTTATATATATTAAAATATATTTAAAATATTATTTATATTTTAATTTTCCTTTATTTTAAATAAATACCTTTCTAAAAACAAACTTTTAATTAAAAAATTTAGGGATTCAAGTCCCGATAGGGAAGCCCTCTCTAACGAGGACCGGAGATGCAGGCTAAAATTTTTGACAGGGACTAATTTGAAACTCGAGGTTGGGATGGGGAGTATGATCCCCACCCCGAACCTGCCCATTACCATTCCTACCCTAGGGGTCATCCCCTAAACCTATAACACCCCAAAACCCATAAATATAGTTCCATTAATTATGGTAATTATAAATGTAGTATCCAATACTTAACGAAATTATTAAAAATTTCTAATTATTTATTTGGAAATGGGAAGTTTTATAGTTTAAGTTTAATAAATTAAAAAAATTACTAATTATTGCTAAAAATTATAGTAAATATCAAAATTACTGAAAATATAAAAAATAAATTTATATTTATTGAAATTAAATTTTCACTAAAAAATTGCTGAAAATTTTTAATTATTGTTTGATAATATCATTAAATATTAATAAAATTGACCAAAATTACTGAAAATATTAGTAACTACTTATTGCTAAAAATTGCTGATAATTTTTAATTATTAAATTTTTATTTATTAATATTTTAATTAATTATTAATTTTTAGTAATTATTGATTTCAATAATTATTTTTCAAAAAAATTCCGAAATTAAATGACCAAAATCAGTAATTTTCAGCGAGTAATTCTTGGTAATTAAAATTTTCATATTACCAAAATTACGGAAAATTATAGTTTAGGTGTTGATATTTACTAACTAATATTCAATAATATCAGTAACTATTGTAAATATAAAAAATATTTCATAGATTAATTTAACAACCCAAATTAATTTACCCACATTTTTTGTTTTTAGATGGTTTATAATATAGATAAGAGGTGTTTTAGGAGGAATTTTAGATTGGAGAGATTGTTTAGGAGAAATTTTAGGAGGGAGTTGAGCCAATTAGTAACATGAGAGAGAGAGAGCGTTGGAGTGGAACTCTAGTGAAGAAAAGATGGCTGCCACATGGCAATATAGATTAAGAGGTGTTTTAGGAAGAATTTTAGTTGGGAGAGATAATTTAGGAGAAATTTTAGGAGGGGGTTGGCTAAGTGATTGAGAACACGAGAGAGAGAGAGAGAGAGAGAGAGAGAGAGGGTGTTCTGTAGTGTGGATGAAAAATTGGTGGGTGTGGACTGGTCCACACCACACCCTGTGGTAGGGACCAATCCACACCACATCATAGTCCACAGCTATTCTGAACTGTGGACAAATTGTGTGGACTGGACCAGTCCACACCTACAGTGGCGTTTTGTAGGCGTGCTGTGAATCAGTCTACACCACACTTTTTGATTCCATGTATCTCATATACATTTATGAATTACCTACACCAACATTTTAAAAATGACTCGGAAATGGAACTGTTCTGGCCATTGGTTTTCAGGTCGACGGTTCGACCACCCAATTCGAACGGACAACCCGTTCTGACAAACAAATTAAGAAAATAAAAAAATAATTAAAAATAAAAACAGTAAAAAACTGTTGAATGGGTCGACGGTTTGACTGCTTGGGGTAAAATGGAACCGCTTGCCTGGACGATTCCCGGGTTGAACGGTCCGACCGTCCAGGTCAACGAAAACCTTGAACTACACAATTAATCATAAATATCTATTTTTTGCATTTTATATGATAAATATATTGAAAAATGGATCAATGAATTAATATTATTTTTTTATAAAAACAATAGTAAAATAACTAAAATTTTAAAAATACATTTTAAATATTTTAAATATAATTATATTGATAAAACATTAAAATTTAAAAAAAATAAAAAATGACAAAAATATTAAAATGTGAAACAAACAATAGGGTAGCCTTTCAGGGAAAGTGTGAAGTTGGGGATCAAAAATTAAGTGTGGATGGTACCTAACCACAAGATTTTGTTGTGGATGAGAAATTGGGGTGTGGACGGGACATGTCCACGCTATATTGGGGTGTGGATAGGACTGGTCCCAGCTACCCGTAGCCAAATGTGACCAAATCTCGTGGACGGAATCGAAAGATTTATGCGATTCCAAAAACCGCCTTAGAGTGGCACTCTAGTATAGAAGAGAGGCCTGCCATGTGGCTACATGGAAGGGGTAGGAAGGAATAAGGGAGAAAGGAGAGAAGAGAGAATGGGGAATGGGAGAAGGAGAGGGCTGCTGACGTGGGACCTAATCGCTTTATAATATAGTATAGATTTGTGTAGAAATATTTCCAATGCACAGCTGCAAGGGGCTGTTAGGATGATGTGAGGAGCAAATCCAATTTCCGCATGAAATTATATATCCCATGGTCCCTACCCAGACATGCAATATATTAAGCTGGTCGATCCCAACACAACCATTCTTTGAATGGTTGAAATTTGGAAGTAGCGATTTCTTTGAAGAAAAGCATTCATATCACTTGGCCTAGCTTTTTCTTAAGTAAGACTAGTACAAAGAAAACAAGGTATTATATATATTCTGTCCCTTTTGCAATCAACCCTATGTGATTTAGCTCGATATTAGAGTCCATGGTGGGATCTCTGTAAGTCCTGGTTCAAACCCTTGACAATTCCTAGAACTCCCCACATATTAAATTGGATAATATATTCCCTACTTGTTAGACAAGAATCCAATGAGATTTCTAGGGCCCAATTCAATGGTACCTTGGCCAGGCTTACAACATAATGAGATTTCATTGTTTTCACAAGTAGTCTATTAGAAGATCAAATGTAGTTTCATTGAGAAGGAAGGATAGAAAGCCATACATAAGATATCATGCATTGTGCAGAATGAGATGACTACTGTAATGTCTACTAGATTCAATATTACATCTTCTTTCTTACAAAATGGTACATGATTTGCTTTATTGATTTTTGGCCGGGGGCCAGGTGGGGTTGGGAAACCTAGCTACAGTATTCACAAATGATCAAGGTATCTTAGGGAGGCACACTTCAATTGTCAAAATACATGATACCAGTGCCCCCAAATCTTTTCTATGGAATTTAACTCACTTACCATAATTTATTGTAAAAAAAAAAATAACAAAAAAAGTTTCATGATGTCATATGTTTACTGGGATGGTGGATTTGTCGACTCTTTCTTTTGCCTTTTTTGCCTGTGCAAGAAAGAGATGAAAATAAGAAAAGGAAGAATTAGATACAAAGAACTGAAAAAAAAAAAAAAAAATGAAATATTAGAAAAGGCTTACTTGTTGCTCCCAGTCAGTCCTTAGTGTTATGATTCCAAGAAAGAGCATTTGTAAAAAGACAGCAAATATGATTCCCATCCAGAGTCCCTGTTTGTCTCATTTTCAAAACATAAAATCAATATCAATATCAAACATCAAAATCATTTTTTTCACAGATAATAGGCCCGAAGCTATATGATATAAAAACAAAAGCTGGTTCATGAGTAAGAAGGATGAATATACACCTTTCCTCCAAGATGGAAGACAAAAGCTAATATAACAGCAGAAGGAATGCCCACAAGATAATATGCTCCAAGATTGACAAAAGCGCCAATTTTTTGCCAACCACACCCTCTAGCTGTGCCTAAATGTTTAAGAGATACCAATTAATTTAGTAATTGGAATGCATAAGAAATTCACTTGGCCCACCTTAAATCTGTGTTTTGTTTGATAGAAAAAAAGAAAGAAATAGAAAGTTGAGGGAAATTTCTTAAAGAATTTCTCTTATTTTCTATCAAACCAAGAATGGCCTTAATGGGAATGGTGCACATATAATCTTACTTATTAGAGTCTAGTTAATTGGGGAGAAAGGAAAATTAATTAGTTACAATTACTTATGATTAGTGAAAAATTTATTTTAGAGTCACTAAAAATTGCACTAACCTGAAAGAACAGATTGCATTCCATCAAATAAATGGGATATTGCTACTAGCAGCAGCATAACTGAAACATATCTCACAACTTCTTCACTATTGCTATAACAGTAGCCCCATACTCTACGAATTGAGACCAAAATCAAACCCGCTAGTATGCCCTCAGAAAGGACCATGGACACAGCAACACGTACAGCCAACTTAGCAGCTTGTGGATTCTGGGCACCCAGTTCATTTGAGACTCGTATGCTGAGAACAGAAGGACAAAAAAATGTTTTCAAATTCAGAAGTTATACATGTATTAATTGGAAAGAATTCAAGAGCATAACTTTTACTTAATCTGGTTTAACTTACCTGATAACACCACTGAGTCCCAGTGGAATCATAAAGACCAATGTACTGGTGTTAAAGCTGCATAACCCACTTCGTTAGTAATTAATTCAAATGCAAATATTTAATCAAAATTGTACTAGATTCTCTATTTAAGGCATTAGATATGAAAATTGCAGACTTACACAAAACTGTGTATTGACTGAGTTTGAACATCGAAGGCATTTGAACATGTTTGAGCACCAAGTAAACTAGCTAGAAAGAAGAAAAAAAATGCTCACCTGATTGTCATCGCTGATGTTTCTAACTTTGGATTAGGAAGAAGGCCAGATAGGAGAACCACCATCTCAAATGTCCATATTTCCAAACTGTTCCTCAACTAACCAAACAATTAACACTGGGAAAGAATTAACACAAACAAATCTCAAGTGAAAGGAGAATTGATGGAATTACCAGAGCATGATAGCTGAGGGAATTGCAAGCCTTAAAAAGCCAAACACATTTTGCAATGCCCGCTTTGAAAAACCAGTCCAAGTCTCTTTGCAGGAAGAAGAGAACTTGACATAAATTGCCAACAGAACTACATTGATCCAATAAGAGATGCAATTTGCAAGAGCAGCACCTCTGCTACCAAGGCCAGATTTGAATACCATAGCCCAACAAACAAGAATGTGCAGTAATGTTGTAACTCCAGTGCTTATCATCATCGGAAATACAATATTCTGTGTTTGTAGGAATCTCACAAAACATTGAATGAGGGCGTAGGCGAAAATACTAGGGATCATGTAACGTGAATAGTGTCCTGCTTCTGCTGATATTTCTGGGTCTTGCCTTATAGCTCGGAGAATGGAGCCTGCATTTGCTGAGATGAGAGCAAGAGGAATGCTGACAAGTAATAGAACAAGCATGGCTTTCTGCGTATGTATGCCAAGCATATGATATTGTTTGGCTCCATAGGCCTGACCACAGAAGGTATCCAGTGCAGTTCCTAGTCCAGTCTGATCAATAGAAAAAGGTAATGAAATTAAGAAACAGATGGAGCTTAAAGGTGTTCAATTCAAGAAGTAAGAGCCCAGTTCCATTTAGCAACCAAATAGGTCTGCAAGGGCTAACTAAGACCATCGTACCAAAAGAAGAAATTTACAAAACCCAAAAGCATAAATTAATAGAGCTGTGTGAAAAAACAATGGGAGGAGACCATCGTACCAACAAGCAGAAACCAGTGAATGATGTGAAAGAAGTGGCCATGGAAGCTCCGGCGAGAGCTAGTTCTCCAAGATGACCCACAAACATCAGAGATATCATCTGTAAGCAGTACATTGAGAAATAAATTAGCATCAAAGGGCCTGCTAACCATAACTGCTTCTTCACTTCTGCAACAATCTTTGCTTTCATGGTTTCGTCTCTGAATTCAACGCCAATTTCTTCATGGATCTGAACCTCTGAGCATTCAAGATCTTTCTGCTCTTCACTTGCCATCTCTTCCTCACCCCGTCTCATTGACAAACCCTGTGACTCCTTCACACTCCACAAACGGGGTTTTCTGACAGAGTTTAGCCCAAAAGGTTCATTCAACCTTGCTATCAACGTTTACTTTTATAAGTTATACTGAACACGTTGCAGGGTGCCTGCATTCTTCTCAGTTTCTGTTCATCAAATGACGTGAAGACAATGCATTCCGCGAGATCGGATTCAGTCCCCACATAACGGTGCTCACACCGTATTCACAGCCACTTCACACTTGCAGCTGTGCATTGGAAATATCTCCAACACGGTGTGAGCACTTCAATCTATCCGAGTTCGCATTCCGCGCCTTCCCTAGGAAGTTGTGAAAACGTTGCCTTGATATTATGAATCGAGAACACAATGCACGAACTATATATATAGTCTTTTAATCTTTATACAAATCTGAAATTAAAAGATTCCTCTTCAACGGTGTTCGTGCATGGGGCCCTACAATCCTTCTGGAGCCCATCTTCCGTCGATCCTCATACTTAGAAGGTTCGGTAGCTTTAGCCTTGAAGATTAACGGAGGACAACCTCAGCAACTTGTCCCCACAATGGGTTAGTTAAGAATAAGGATACAGATGCCCAGCTAGGCAGCAAGTCATTAATGAGGGGTCACTCACTCTTCCGGATGCTTTTTTCAGTGAACGGTCGGCCGGGTTAGTCGGTCAGAGGTTGGTAGGGATGCACGGATTCAGACTTCAGAGTGGGGACGGAACCTGGTCGACGTGAGGCCCACGGGTCTTATCACGCAGAGCTTGCAGGTTGCAGTTCCGTCGGGTTGATTCTTGGGAGAATGACTGTTTTAACACACACTACGAGTTCCGTTGGGTTGATTCTTGGAAGAATGACTGTTTAACACATTCTAACAATTCTTAGCCAGAGTACAGTTGGGATAGGTGCCGGTATTTATCATTTAGAACGTGTTTTAGGATGGGGTATTTATCATTTTGAATTATATAAGATTGCAGTAGAATTCAGAATTCTGCAGTACTGTATTTTTTTTATTCTTTTTTTTTATCTGACTATGTCCGTTGTTGGAAGTGATGCCCAACGATCATCTCAATGATCGGGTTTCACAGGCCAGACGTTCTAAAGTCGGGAGACAAAGCTTCTTCACCATTCCTGGGCGAAGCTCAGCTGCTTATTCCTATATGCCTCAACCTGAATTACCACTGGGTCGTAAAGGAACTAAGAGTAGATGAGGAAAGAAAGTAGGGAATGTGTTTTCCTTGGCGAAATTATGGGGCATCTGAGCTGAGAGAAAAAGCTCGAGTTTTAGTTGGTAGCTGCAGTGTATCCTCTGGCTATGGAGATTTCTGATTAAAAGGGTGTTTGGTATGATGTTTTCATATAAATTACTGGTTTGTTTTTAGTACATTCACATTGTACAGTTACCTCGTATAGTTCATTAGCATTGGAATCTCTGAAAGATTTGAAGGCTGTCTTTGGAATGATCTATTGAAAACCCGCAAACCTGTACTGGACCATCTGTCTACTGTTTTCTGAGTTGTAATTGGTATCCAAAGCCCCCTCGTTCCCTTTTTAGCATTGTTTCCTGCAAGTTCATCGATAATTTATTCTTCAGGGATTATTTGATAGTGGCTTGGGATAATGTTTTCGTTTTTCAAAGACCCATCGTCCAAGGCCACAGTGATCGGCAGTTTCTCTGCAAATTGTTTGGCCATTTGAGGAAGCTGAAGAGGAGAGCCTGTTGCCCAATCATCTTTGACCCCAACATGATCGGTTATCACTTATCAGTGTTGCCTTCTATATGCTTGTAGCTAGCGGCAACTCATCGTCGTTATCCTTGTCAATCTTCGAAAGCTGCTTTGGTCGCTGAACCTGGGCGATCCTTGATTGTCGTGCCGTGTTTTAGGATCGTTTGCGAGTAGGGGTATCTGACGAAGTGACGAATACTTTGGATCATTTTGGACGAGTAGGGGTATCTGTTCAAATTGGTTTTACTTTCGATTGGTTTCAACCCAAACTTGGTCCATTTACAGCTATACTTTATCTTCTATCAATGGAAGTATATTGGTTCAATCCTACCCAAATCAATATAAATTCATTGCTGATGGATTAGTTCTAATCCAATCCAATAAATACTTTTAATTATTAAGGTTGCATTTGACATTTCTTATTTTAAGGATTTATCTTTTTTTTTTTACAGTTAAAAACTCGATATTTTTAAAGAATGTCAAATGCAAGGTTCTAAATATTGATACGTCCGATACATTGGTAGAGGCATATCGAGCAGTATTGGTACTGTTATTTATTTATTATTTTTTCAAATCTGATTCAGGGGGGCCAGTTTAAGGTTCCTCCACCCACTGAACCCGTCAAAACCCCGATATATCCTCTATAAGGGTGTATCGGGATGCTCCCAATACGATATGTATCAGCCGATAGATACATAACAATTTTTTGAACCTTGACCAAATGCAACCTCTGGACTGATTCAATTCAATATGTCTTATTGGCCTATTCAATCTGTGTAAATTGATTTTGATTTGGATTGATCCAACCCGAAATCAGTCCATTGACACCCCTATTTGCGAGGGGTGGTCTCCTATTATTAAAAACTCTTCTTCCATATAGCGTCCTTATTGGGAATATCTCTTATATATGTTAAATTCATGAGAGATATTCCCCATATGTGTGCAAAGCTTTTACTTGGAATGCTGTTGCAGCTTATGCAGTCATTGAGCTGCGTTGACAGTCCCTTTCAACAAATTAACTATGATGGCTTTGGTCTCATGAAAACCTATTTTCGGTTTTCTGGATTTTTATCAAAATAGGGCTTCAAAACTTTTGGGGGTTCCTTGGCAAATACAATGCAAGAAGCTGCTGAGTGAAAGCCCTTCCAAATGGGCATAGATATGCTCCAAATCCAATGGGTATCACAAAGAAAGCTCAGTTTGGAAGGAGTATAAATACAAATATATATGTATTATATAAATACATACAAAATACAAGATTTTGCACTCTATATATTTATATTTGTTCTTTTCCAAACTGAGCCTAAGTTTTATTAATTGGCCCATTGTGAAGCAGGTTTGGTTTATCATGAGCAGAGTGACGGTGCAATTTGGGCGGACTCAAGTTGGGCTTTCGTCAAAGGCACCACCCAAAGGCTTGAGCCCAAAGCAATGTAAAATGCTAACTTGGGTACCCCTACCGGTCCATTAGTTCAGGAATCCTTGACTGAATGGTGGGAAGAAAGAATTCTTGAAGGCAACGCTGAAGAAAATAATGAAAGATGCTGGGAAAACTCACTTGTTAATCCTTCGACCCCATACCGAAATAGAATTCTAGTCGAACAAAAAGATGGGTTTGGCCCAGCCCAATTTCTAGCAGTTGGCTGCCTCGTCACTAATTTTAATGGGCTTCCTGTGGGTCTCATGACTAGGCCCATTTATATTTTATCTAGTTTTATTTTAGGTTTAATTTATGTTTTTTTATTTCAGTTTTTAATTTTTTATAAATAAAATAAATTAAAAATTGAAATTTGAGGTAAAAAGGCATTATTTTGGAAAAAAAAATATCAGGGCAAGGCATCTTGGGGCACATAGATCACAAAAGGTTATCTTAAGTTAAAAAAATCATCCTGATCCAATAATCAAATACAAAGTTATGGTTTCCAGAAGTTTTCACTGGGTCAAGCAGGTCAATGATTCAACTGCCCCGAATTGACAAGTCTTTTGACCAATTCAATGGTTTTGGTGAAATAGCAAGTTTAAAAAAAAAAAAAAAACTGGAATTAGAAAATAAGGCTGATGGTTCAAACAATTCAACCATATGGATCAACGACAGGTTGAAAATGTTTGTTTTATATGGAAATGAATATAAAATAACATTTTCTAAAATCATTTATTTTCCTTCATTTTACATACAATATGAAAACTAGAAGATGTTTGAGGCTCTCCTTTGTGAGATTACTTGTTGAAAGGCTGACAAATAAGGGGTTTAGTGGTCAGAGAGATTAACAGCAAAAAGAATATAAGTCCTTAAACTAAGTAATGCCAAATACAGCCTAAAATGATAGTATTCAAGGAATTGTTGTTGTTGCTTCTTTCTGTTATTGATAATCATTAAGAAATTAGTAAAAACTTGGTGATTATAGAACCAATGATTTTCCTGATTTTAGGTATGTCAATATATATAGGCTTGAATAGACAGCTTCTCTCTCATTTCTGTTTGATTTATAATTTTTGTTAAAACATCATTAATGTTGTTAGCAGACATGGGGGATAAACATATATATCTTTAACCCAACAACTCTCTCGTGGAACTTTGCACTCAGCCTTGGTTTCAGGGTTAACACTGACCCGCTACTTAATCAAAACCCTTTGAGCTTGAATTGTCCATTAGGCTTAGTTTAAGGTTCTGTTTGCTTGCAGTGCAAATTTAAATCAGATGCAACATTTTCAACCAATTCAAAATTGCATGCATGTACTTTTCTGCAACGATCATTTGTGACCTCTTATTACTAGCTATATGCAAAATATGTGGTTTTTTTATTCATTCGCACTATTGGCGGTACAAAATTTATAATTCAAAATTTCTCATCTTAATTACTCCTTAATTCTCTCTCATAGAAGGTGGAGACCATGTCATTTGACTTTCCATTTCACTCCCAGACAACAACTTTTCTCTTAATTAGGCTCAGTTTTGGAAAGATTATAAATACAAATATGTACATTAGGCTCAGTTTTGGAAAGATTATAAATACAAATATGTACATTAGGCTCTATTTGTTTGTGATATAAACGCTGAATCGGGGTATTTATGTACCCCAGTTCGCGTTTGGGAGAGCTTGTTTGAAACGTAAAAAAGTAATGATTTTCAGTGCAAAATTGTATTTGTTAACACTTGTACTCTGAGAAAAGAATATTTTTGTACCTATTTTTTGGATACAATTTTGTCTTCTTTTGATAATTAATTTTTTCTAAAGTTAATGCATTGGAGCATAAGATAGTTAGAACATTTAATGATGAACCCACACTTTTGCACTGATTTCAAACAAACAAGATGAATGCGAAAACAGTTTAAAATATGAACCGTGTTTGTAATAATAAACCAAAAAATGAATAAATATGTAGTATACTTTGCATTTGCATTGCAACCAAACATAGCCTAAGACTCAATTTTGAAAGAATACAAATGCAAATATATACAGTATAAATACATACAAAATAATATAAAATATAAGACTTTACACTCTACATATTTACATTTGTGCTTCTTCCAAACTGAGCCTTACAGACGTTTCAGCCCATTGAATCTTAAATTTATGTAATCACTGAAGACTTTGTGCAACTCTTGGATTTCTTGGCCCTACTTACTTAATGAAAAGACTACTTTCTCTAATAATTTATTGTTGTCTCAGTGGTAAACTTTTATTGCCCAAGATTCTCACAAGCAAAAGAAAACAAAAAAAGGGGGCCGATTTATTGATTGGAGACTGAACGAAGGAACCGATTTTGTGTTTTAGTAAATAGTCTAGATCCCAATTTGGGAATCGGCTGATATGGATTAAAGACTTTTTTTTTTTCTTTATTTTTTATTTGGTACGCAAGTTTTATCCATCTAAATCTAAAGTCTTCACAAAACTCCAACTGATTAAGAAAATATAATCACTTCTTAGCAGCTGATGAAAGCCTATATTATCTTCGATCTTGGTAGTTGGTGACCATCTCATCTCTAGGAGGAAGACAATCCTTGATTATAGAAATTTGGATAAAACTCTGAGCCCATTCATGGAGATGTGGGAACCTATCTGCATCAAGCAACTTCATGCCTCCAATTTCCTCTAAGACTTCGAGCCAGTGAGAAATCCATCCAATCACCAGTTCGAGAAAACCAAAAACTCTTTCCTCCAAAGAGTTTTTCTTTTTTACCTTCAATTTGCTTCTCGAAATTGTTTAGTGTCTCCAGCACAATCTCTACGGCTTTCTCCTTTTCAGGTCCTTCAGCACAGCAAGCTGCCCATGCATCCATTAAACACTAATCAGAAAAATGGGTTTCGTCAGCCAATCAAGGAAAAAAAATGAAAGAACAAGTAAAAAAAAAAAGGAGCAAACAGAGTAAAGGGTTGTCCTTCCACATCTCATCGATATACTTGAGGAGACTCGACGATCGGTATACTGTTATGCAACAACATTGGAACCTTCTTATGAACTGGATTGTACTTGAGAACACTGTTTTCAAAACCGGACGGTCAGACCGGAAAAACTGGGAACCGGTTCCGTTTTCCTCTAAAATTGTTTTTTCCCTGAAACCGTTAATTTTGGTCAGTAAACTGCTGAATCGGCCAATTAATCATTCGAACGATTTGACCATTTTAAAATTTTTTAATTTTTTTTGTCAAAACAAGCCGGCCCTTCGGGTCAAACGATCAAACCATTCGAACCGATAACCAGACCCCTGATCGATTCGATCACCGATTCATTTTTAAAAACCATGCTTGAGAAGCAAAGATACTCATATTCAATCCCCTTAAGCTTAAGAGCCCATGCAATTCTTTAACAGAAAGGGCTAGTAGAAGGCCCAATCACTTTCTCCCATCTCTTAGAGCCTTGGTCTTATAAAACTTAAAACCAATCCAAGTTTTCTGGTATAGAATTCTTGGTTCTTCTCCCTTGAAAATTTATAGAAGTTGGGTTCTTAAAAGTATTGTTACCTACTACATTTTGACAAATATATATAGGAACCTTTGAAAGTCCTCGTTCGACATGCAGCTAGGCTCTCTCGAAGTTCTTGACTTATTTAGACACTGTGTTGCTCTGTTGCAAATTTGAAATTGGTACTGGGATGACTTTTCTTTTCCTGGATCACTTTCCTGTGAGTTGTAATCGGTATCCAAAAGGCCATCTTTCTTCCCCTTTTTCCTTTTAGTATTGTTTTCTAATCCTGCCAGTTGGTCGATTTTATTTGATCAAAGTTCTATTAACAAGGGCTTAGAGATTTAAGGAGGAAGGTCTGTGTATGATGTGCTGGAGTTTGGATAATGCATGTGTTCTGATCTGGTGCTCCCTGCTGGTAGAAAGTTTGGACGTCGGGCTGGTGAGGTCGTCTGGTCAAGCTGCAAAGTCTAGTCAAGCTGCAAAGAGAATAGTATCAAAGTGTCTAGGTTGTTTTACTTGGGGTGAATACTCCAATGCTTAAGTTAGTGAAGAGAGTTTTGAGAGGTAGAATACAAGAAAACTAGTGTGCTTGAGAGCCAAATTACACGTACCTTCTCGAATGACTGGGATGCCTTTATATAGGCACAAGTTGCCATGGGCTTCATGCTACAAACCCAAGATCTCTGGGGGGGACGTTGCTTACCGGCCGCCCACCTCGCTCAAAGACGGTTTCCGCATAAAGCGATAAAGTTCATCTGGTTGCCTCTAAAGCGAGCAAGGTAGGAGTCAACTTCGTCAATGGGGCGACGTGATCCTGGAGGATTCAAAGACGATAGCCTACTCATGATGGGGGTTGGCCACCACGTCTTGCAGGTCGCCAACAATGCTTCAGCCAGGTCGGCAAAGAGAGATCGCCCCTCATGCTGAGGTCCCTAGCTCAATCCTACAATGACTGACCTAGTCTTGTGATGGATGACTTGGTCTTGGGTTGGGCGACCTGGTCCTATGATGGTCCATTTGGTATTGTGATGGGTGACTTGGTCCTGAGATGGGCGACCTGGTCCTGGGATGGGCGACCTGGTCCTACGATGGTCGATTTGATCTTGTGATGGGCGACTTGGTCTTGAGATGACCGACCTAGTCCTACGATGGGTGATCTGGTCTTGTGATGGCTGACCTGGTCTTGGGTCGAGGTGCTTACAAACCGGTCTTGCATACGTGACGCTGAGGTGTTAAGCAATGGATAAGAGTTGCCACATGGCGCAATGCCATAGGAGGGCCAAATCGCCATGTGATGCAATGTCACTGGAGTTTGAATAATGTGTTTATTTTTTCAAAAACACATCATCCAAGGCCAAGAGCCTAAATAGACTAGAGACAAAATCATGCACATTAGGTTGGGCTACCTACAATAAACATTAGTGTGTTCACTTGTAACAGATAGTCCAACCCAATGTATATATACAATTTCGTCTCCAGTTCATCCAGACTATAAGGCCAATGCGATTGTCATTTTCCCCGTGAATTATTTGGGCCATTTGAGGAGGCTGAAGAGGAGAAAACTCAATTATATATATGCTCGGATGGGTGGTACAAAGAAATCAATTGTATGAATATGTGAAAAAGTAAATAAAGTATCTGGCTGCAAAAATGTATTTTCGGACTGGCTAATATATATGTTCCTGAGCATATTCAGTCAACCCTCTCCTTTCATCAGCCCAACAACACACAGCTTAGGGTGCAGTTTACATTTGGCCAACAATAACGACCCAATTCAACTTGAGAACGAATAGGGTTGTTGGGTTGATGGAGGCCCATCTCACCCCTAGGGGAGGCAGCTCCTAGGATAAGGTTAAGATAAAGCAAGACTCTTCCAAGATTATCAAGACAAAGCAAGACTCTTCCAAGATTATCAAGAAATCAAGATTAGAATTCCAACAAGACTCCAAGAAGCATCAAGATTAGCAAGATAATCCAAGATTCATGCATCGAGGGAGATCGGACAATGGAGATCAAACCAAGAAGAGTTTGATCCTACCAGATTAGATATTTGGATCTATCCTAGTTGTTATTTCCTAGTTCTTTTACAATTTCCAAATGTATTATAAATACTGTTATTTTCCCCAGAATTATTCATCAATTCATACTTCATATTTTTAGAATTTCTTCAAGTTCTCTTCTTTGAGTTTTCACCACCTTTTCTCTCTCCTAGAGAATTCGGTGTTCTTCGCTAGAAGCTAGCGATCGCCCGGTGCTTGCATAGCCAGCTCCGGTTTCCATTGCTTCCACGATGCGTCAGGTGGTATCAGAGCAGGGAGTCCGCCTAGTCATGGCCAACCCAGACGGTAGCAGTCGCAACCCACCCCGTGACGGAGATCAGGGGTTTCCAGCTGTTTGGAGAGCAATCGAAGAGCAGCGCACGACCACACGTAACATCGAGCAGTAGTTGAAAGAGATGGCTGAACAACTGCGAACCTTGTTACGGGAGGTTGCTCCACAGAACTGAGAACATCCACAGCAAATCGAGGGAGACGGTCACGATAGACCACCCGTCCATACTGCGTTTCGACGACCAGTCTTGGACAACGACAATGATGATGATTTAGAATTTTGTGGTGCTCCTGTTCTTCCCGACAATGATAGAAATGGTAGAAATTGGCATAACCAAGGTAATTTCAATCCCCGTAGGAATAATGATGAATTCAAACTTAAAGTAGATATTCCTACCTTTAGTGGAGATCTTGGCATAGAAGGACTTCTAGATTGGATCACAGAAGTCGACAGATTCTTTGACTACATGGAGATACTAGAGGATCGAAGGGTAAAACTGGTAGCTTTCCGACTAAAGGGAGGCGCATCTGTTTGGTGAGAACGGATGTGAGAGACCCGGATCAGAGAAAGAAGGGGTCCTGTTCGAACCTGAAGGCGCATGAAACAATTAATCAGAGGTAGATTTTTACCCCCTGACTATGAACAATATATGTTTGAATCTTATCAGATGTGCGCGCAGGGTTCACGTAGTGTTAATGAGTACACATCAGAATTTTTAAGATTAGCAGAAAGAAACCAGTTGTCTGAAAGTGATAACCAGCAGGCATCCCGTTATTTGAGTAGGTTAAGACCATTCATCGGGGACAAAATTGGTGTCCAAATGGTTCTTAGTGTGCAGGAASCAAGGAACTTAGCCCTGAAAGCAGAATTAATGTTCCAAGACAAGGCGCGTAGTGATAATTACCGCCGGTACAGTGGGAGCGACAACAGACCGGCAATTGTCGGCAGGAACAAATCAGTCTCGACAGTACAACCCTCTCACCCAGCAAGCACAAGTAACGCCGGTAAGGCTACTACAGGAGGACATACTCGAGGTAATCCTTCTAGCCCTCCTAAACCCAGTAACCCTTATGCAAGGCCTATTCCTATTAAATGTTTTAAATGTAATGAGGTTGGACATAGATCCAGTGACTGTCCCAGGAGGAAGGCAGTTAATATGRTARAAAGGGAGGAGGAAGAAGATATTGAGGAGGAGGTATACTGTGGACCTGATGGGGAGGATGAAGAGGGTCCATATGAACATGAGGAGTATACTTGTGTGGTAAGAAAATTAATGTTGTCCCAGAAAAATAAAGATACTTCTTAAAGGCACAGATTATTTCGTACCAGATGTACTGTAAAGGAAAAATTATTTAATTTAATTATTGATAGTGGCAGTCAAGAAAACATTATTTGCAGGGATGTCATCCAACAATTATACCTGATTCTTGAAAAACATCCCAACCCATACACAATTGGGTGGATCAAGGAAGGAGGTGGCGTACGGGTGGAAGAACGCTACAAGGTACCTTTTTCAATTGGTAAGTACCATGATGAAGTATATTGTGATATAGTTGATATGGATGCTTGCCATATTTTGTTAGGGAGGCCTTGGTAGTTTGATACAGATGCAAGACACCTGAGTAGGAAGAATACCTACCAACTTGAAAAAGAAGGTACACGTTATACTTTGTTACCCATAGTAGAAAAAAAATATTACAAGTGCTCTAAAGGCACATGAGAAAAATTTCCTTACCATCACCCATCATTATGCTGAATTTGTTAAAGAATGTAAGGATACTCATGAAATACATTTGTTAGTAGTAAAAGGAGAAAATGTTAATGATGAAAATAAATTCCAGTGGAAATACAGGGACTACTAGATGAATTCAATGATGTAGTTCCAGAGGACTACTAGATGAATTCAATGATGTAATTCCAACGGAAATCGAGGTCGGGGTTCGTATTCCGAATCATCCACCGACTTAGCTCGAAACCCCTCCTGTAGGAGTCTACCATCAGATCATCGAAATCCGGCGAAGCAATGTAATCGCTAACAGCCTT